CCTCCTCCAGTCTGCTTCTGCTGTAGTTCATTTTGACACATTCCTACTTTTCCACTGTTTCTCTTCTTGATATCATTTTGTTTCTTCTTTCCCTTCACAGTGTTAGGGTTCATTTGCCTACAATAGTGTTTAATCTTATTGGCTATGACCAAATCAATAGTGTCAGCAACGTAATGATACCTTGACCAATGCACTGCTGACATAAACACATGTAAACAAAATCATATGACTCAGTGCAATAAACGGCAGTTTGGATGAATGAGGCTAAAGCAGCAATTAACTTTTTTTTTTTTTTTACCATGGATCCCTTTAAATATATTTTGTTGCTGTCAACCACCAAAACATCTTTAATTCTTGCTGGAAAAACTGAAATTACAAGAACACAAAATCATTATTATGGGACACCTATACAAAAGTCACATGAAAATGAAAGCTAAAAAATGACATGAATATAATTTGTTCAAAATTGTACCTCATTAAACACAAGTTAGGTGGGGAAAAGGGAACATATTGTACTCATATACAGTGGTGCCTCACACAACGATGTTAATTGGTTCCAAAAAAATCAACGTTGTGTGAAACATCGTTCTGTGAAACACCATTTCTCATAGGAATGCATTGAAAATTGGTTAATCCGTTCCAATTGGAACGGATTGCCATCGTTCAGTGAAAATCCCCATAGGAAACATCGTTGAGTGAAACAATGTTTCCTATATTGGAATGTATTGAAGCCGACTCAATACATTTCAATGCCTTTGCGAAGTCCTTTTTCGCTCCTGTAAAAGTGTCTTACAATGTTTGGAAGCTGTTTTAAATGATTGCAATGGTTAGTCCACCTCCTGAAACCTATGCAAACTGATTTTGGTGTTGTTCTGACACTTCGTTAATTTATGATGATTTTTTGTTTTTTCCATTGGAAACCATTAGACAGACCATCCAATGGTTTCCAATGGAGAAAATTCAAAAAATCATCATAAATTAACGAAGTGTCAGAACAACACCAAAATCAGTTTGCATAGGTTTCAGGAGGTGGACTAACCATTGCAATCATTTAAAACAGCGTCCAAACATTGTAAGACACTTTTACAGGAGCGAAAAGGGAGATCGTTGTGTGAAAATCCCCCATAGGAAACATCGCTGTGTGAGGCAGCAAATTTAACAGAAAAAGGCATCGTTGTGTGAATTCATCGTTGTGTGAGGCACTCGTTGTGCGAGGCACCACTGTAATTATAATTAATGAGAAGGCTGGTGCTGCATTTCACTTACAAGCCTTGTTATATTGGGCTTAATATCTGAAACTTGTATTCTGAGTTCTGACTCTAGATTTTTTTTTTCAAATGGTTTTATAGTTATTTTAAGATAAACGAGAGCAGTGAATGATTTTTCTCATAAGTAGAAAGGTATTAATATTTTCATAGCCCTCTTCAATATTTCTGGAAAATCTGCTTCTAGGTGAGCCAAGAAATTTGGAAGAGACTGTTCCTTGAACTGCAGTTTCAGAGTATCATCCATGGATATTTCTATGAGCTTGTCTTCCTCTGCTGCTGTGAACCCCTCTAGTTCATACACATTAACTGAAAAGGCATCTCTAATCCAGTTTTTGCTTGCATCAGGAAAATATTTACAGAGACTATGCTCCAAATCTTCCAAGTAGTGTGCGATAAGTGACGTGTCCTCCTCAGATGACTCTTTGTTGGTAAAAACAAGAACATTTATGAGGTTTGAAAATGTCTCATAGTTTTGGTTTGAAAGGCGGTGATGCCACTATTCCAGCTTTTTTATCATTGCTTTGATGTTGTTGTCAACTTGAAAAAACTAACCCTTTCTCCTTGAAGATTTAAGTTGAACATATTTAAATAGGTGATATATCTGACAGATATGCTAATTTGACTAACCAGGAAAAATCTGTCAAATGAACATTGAGGTGAAATTCCTTCTCCGTGAGGAATAATCTTATCTCATCTCTCACTGCCGGTAGTGGCCTTGCTCATCCTTTGAATCATTCCCGGAGCCCTGCTCTCTTCCTGCTTAGCTAGCCACTCCAGGCAAGGGGAGGGAGGATGAGTCTCTCTGCATAGGTGCCAAGTCTCTACCCGAGCAGGAAGAGAGCAGGGCTCTGGGAGTGATTGGAAGGATGAAGAAGGCCACCACTGGCAGACGCATGAGTGGATAGTCCAGCCCCAAGGGTGGGACCCTCATTAACTCCCATCTCTAATCATCTTCACAAAGATGATTTCATTGCTTCATCTTCACAAAGATGGTTTCATTGCTTATTGGACAATATCTCATGACACAACACATATTGTGAAAGTTGCTTGTCTTCGGTACCTGTACACATGAAGAAAATGTATTGTTACAAAATTCACTATGACCTTCCTCTCAGAAACTACAAGGTGTGTTTGGTATCTATTAAAATAGATCAGAACTAAAGAGCTACATTAGACATATCCATGAAATTTGCTAAATTTTTTGGTATAGGATTCCTGAGTTAGTTTCGTTTTTGCTTTTTTTTTTTTTAGTTTTGCTTTATTTTAATTAACAGAATTATATGATGCTTCTCACTATTTAGTGAAGATGCCTCATGCGGTCTTCCAAATGCAGCATCACTTCTGCCTGGTTTCGGCTCTTTTTTATTGCTTGGTGACCGGAGTTCACAGGGCTTAATGAGACTCCTTCCTAACTATTTAACAATCTGGCACTGAGGAACTTTATTGTTTCAGTGCTTTGCTTGTACTCATCAGTACTGCCAGCAGCAGCAACAGTTAGTACTAACCAACTAAAGATATTGGGGAGGGTAAGAGGAGAAAGGGTTGGGGGCTGTGTGCATCAGCTCATGGCTACTGCTGCTGCTGCTGCTTTTAGCTCTATGGAAAGGGAATGTTGGACTCCAGCAAGAGGAAGGGCTGCCCCACTAAAGCTGAAACCATCTGTCTTTCTCAGTATTTCCAAATGTACTATACACAGGACTCCAAACAAACAGGCTGAAGCCAAAGGTGGAGAGTGGATAACTGTGGTGGCTCATAGAGCTATCACATGCATCCAGGGAGTTCTAAACCTGCCGAACAATGACAGCCCAGGCAGGAGTCATTACTGAAGGTTGGAAACCTAGCAACTGTGGGATGAAATAAACCACTTGCAGTTGGTACCACCACCACTAGCATCCAGCACTGCTCTATACCTTTGCAAACCCTTCCTGGTTTCATGAGCATTAGAAGGTTTGGGAGGTTCCATCATGCTAAACTCTCCCCACCTGTATGAAGGGATACAAAAACAGACCAATGAATTTGGAAGGGACCAAAAGAAAAAATGCACAAATTTTGAAATAAATACAAAATGAAATAACAAGAATGTCTTCTAGATGTTGGCAAAAATTCTGGCAGGATCAGTGCATAATCTGGGCAGTAAAGTGGAACAAAGATTGTATGCAGGAGACCTCTTAGTTGTATCAATGCACGCCATAATGGATGCCACTGAGCACATACTGCCTGTTTGTTTCTTTTAAGTTCATAGCTGTTACCAGAGCTGAATAAAGTAGCCATGCTTGCTAGGGAATTCTGGGAGATGTAGTCAGGGTTAATAACTCAGGCTACTGAATATGCCAGAGCTAGGTGTGTACTTTTGTTTCCTATGCAACATTCTAAAATGTCTTCAGTGCTTATTCCTGATTTCTGTTATGGTCCACATATTGCTATGTTTGCCTTGGTTATGTGCAAGTTGATAAAATTATATATTTGTTCCACAACAATTTATCTTCTCCCATACTTCAGACCCAATTTTGGCTTTGGACAACCTAAATTATTTTGAGTAATTGGTGGTTCTTTCATACATTATATTTTTCTGAACTGCTTGCTGTTCCTTCCCCCTCCCTTCTCATCTTCCTTTTCAGATGATATGTTGAATGTATTTTGCATGGTTACTGTTAAATAAGTAAACCCCATATTTATTGAATGTTATGCCGCTATAGTTCTCATAGTTCTTTCTTGTCAATATATTCCAGGCTTGTATTACTCCCAATTTCAGTCTTTATGGACTCAGTAAGATGCCACAATCCAACAAAACATTTTTCATTCATTCATGAAGCATAAACTTCAGTTGCAACTGAGGGCCAAAGTATACAGAATATGTATTCCCGGCAATTACACTGCTTTCTGACAACAGAGTTTCCTCGAAGATGCATGTCTTAGCTGTTACATGTTCAGACAAAGCTCATAATTACATTCTAATGACCAATCACAAAACAAAACATGCTAAATGCAAGATTTGGAGGTGAGGGAAATCACACATTATGGCAGTCTTTCGTCACTTTGAGGGCTGCAATATTTTATTGTGTAAGGAATACATAAGCATTTACTGTACTCTGTTTCCTAAGAAAAGGAGATTCCCCCAAATTCTTGGAATATTCAAAGGAGTTTCTTGGGAAACTCCTCAGAAACCACAGAATTGCAGTTTAACAATTTGTTTTAATCAATATCAAAGGGATATTTCTATTTGTTTTAATCAATATCAAAGGGAGTCATATTAAGGGCTTTGATTCCATCAGGATGCTTCTCTAGGCTGGGCATTGCAGAACTTGAAGGATTGAAGAGAATAAACAGAAAAATCCAAAAACTATCCTGGCTATATTTTGCTGTCATTATCTGTGTTGAAGTAATGTCCCAAGATAGAAACTTCAAATGTGTTGCTTCAGTTTGAGGTTCGGGTTTCATCCCTGGCAATGTAGGATGAATTGCCCTTTCCCATCTCTGTAGAGAAACTATCCTGACACTGCAACATCTGATCAGGATAATTTGAGGACATTTTCATTTCTCCCCCCACCACAAAAGTTCTGCTCACCTGTTCTTAATATGTTCTTGGTCCAGTAAAAGCACTACACATTCTTGTGAATGATTTTGTACAAGGATGGCATAGCTTCCCCCTCCCCCATTTTTAAATGGTATTCCTGTATTTCTTGTGGTTCACAGATAACAACACTTTCCTTCTCTCTTTTATCCCATCCTTAGGAATTCTTTCGTAGACATTTTACGGGCTATTCTGTTGTCTTTAGAAGTTCTCATTGAAGATCAAGAGCTTCAGATAAACGGCTTCATTCTGATTATAGATTGGAGTAATTTCTCATTCAAGCAAGCCTCCAAACTAACACCTTCCATCCTCCGGCTGGCAATCGAAGGGTTACAGGTACGTTGACTTGGAGAATTTGCATTTGAGATGGTTTGGTAATAATTTAGGTTTGATGATTTTGTGTTGGGGAAATATTTCTTTACATGGAGAGAAAAAAAAGGCAGAGGGCGAAGGAGTCTGTTCAGCAGTGGATTTTTTATTCAGTGACAAGAATTTCAGATGACTGTTTATTTCCTGCTTTCATTGAAATGATGAGCTGTTCTAAAGCAGAGGCCTATACAGCCTAACTGCAGCAGTTAAGAATAATGTTTAGAGATTTGAGATTTAATCCACATGAGACTTCCTGGGGATTAAAAACTTGCAACATCTGTCAAGCAAAACACATGGCTCCCACATGTAGGGCTGTCTGCATCTGTGCAGCAGGATGGGCAAATAATCACCTAGAGACACAACTGAGCATCAGTCAATTTATATTTGAAATGCCAAAAGACCCACTGGTTATTTGGAAAAAAATAATAATGTGAGCAATTAGATCAGCTAACGGCATGTTGCTCATGTCTCTGCCAAGCAATTTATGAGCAGATTTTTTTAATAAAATACTGCAAACAGCTTGTGTGCTTTCTATACTATCACAGCCTCTGTCATTAATATAGGCTTCACTACTATTGAATCCACGTGACGGAGTGAGCGCCCGTCGCTTGTCCCAGCTCCCGCCAACCTAGTGGCTCGAAAGCATGCAAATGCAAGTAGATAAATAGGGACCCCCTCAGTGGGAAGGTAACAGCGTTCCATGTCTAAGTCGCACTGGCCATGTGACCACGGAAGATTGTCTTCGGACAGATGCTGGCTCTATGGCTTGGAAACGGAGATGAGCACCGCCCCCTAGAGTCGAACACGACTGGACAAAAATCGTCAAGGGGAACCTTTACCTTTACCTTTTTACTATTGAGCACCTTTGTACATCCTGCAAGTCAAGGCCAGATTCCTCTAAATGCTTACTTGGAAGCAATTCTCACTAAGTAAACATTTACAGTGGTGCCCCGCACAGCGAGGTTAATCCGTTCCGGATTAACCTTCGCTGTGGGAAACATCGCACTACGGAACACAAAAAGGCATTTGAACGCATTAAACAGCATTTAATGCGTTCCAATGCCAAATAATACTCACCGTTGTGCGATGTTTCCCAGGGGCCGGCAGCCATTTTCGCGCCCTCCCCTCGCACAACGGCCGCCGGAACAGCCGAAAGGGGCTGGGGCGCAGCGTTTTCGCACCCTTGGTAAGCAAGGGGAGCGCGCGAAAACGCTGCCAGAAGCCCCGAAATGGTTGCGCCCCGGCCCCTTTTGGCTGTTCCGGCAGCCCTTTTGGTCCCGCCGGACAGCTGATCAGCGGGTCGCAAAGCAAAGGTCGGTAAGCGAGCAGCTTACCGACCTTCGCTCTGTGAATTACCGCCTATACGGGCACCGTTTTGTGATTGCATTTGCGATCGCAAAAACGGCCTCATAGAGCGAATTCATCGCTCTACGAGGTGCCCGTTGTGTGAGGCACCACTGTATATGGTTTTGCAGAGATACTAACCACTCTGTTCCTCATTCAGATAACAACAATAACAGAAGAGATAATGTGCAATACAACAGAGCTTTTGAATTATATCTGTGCCTTTTAAAACAAGAGAATATTAAACCTTCCAGATATTCCATGTTGACCTTGTATTTCTGAGTTCATGATCTTCATAGAGTAACTTAAAACATTTTTTTTAAAATTTCAAACTGCTATATGATTAAACAAAACATTCTTGAGAACTGAGAAATGATCCTCACATGAGCACATTGCTATATTAATGTTTGCAATGGAAATGCACTATGTGCATGGATGGTGCCTTACAGCACCATCCTATAGATATCTGTCTAGAAGTAACTATTTTGCATTCTTTGGGGCTTAGTGCCTGGTAAGTGGTTGTAGGTGTGCACCATAAGGACAGGATCCAATGGTAGACTTCCACTGGCACAACTCAACAGAGGGGTTAAATTAGTATGAAGCACCAGGAGCTGATTGAGAGGGCTATAGGAAGGAGGAGTTCTGGAAATCCCATCAAGAGAATGCCGATTTAACCCAAAGTATTTTATAATGTTACCTCTTTTTTAACAGTGCATGTCTACTCAGAGAACATTTTTTATCTGAACAGAAAGAAGGTCTGCTTGACATATTCCCTATGCGGTAGTGCAGTTGGTTTTCAGCAGTTTTTTTGATGTACAGCAGAGTAGAGAGTTCTCTAAGATCTTAAGCAGCCCTCTGAAAGGAAAATGTGGATATATGGTTTATGTATGAAATAAAGAAGTAGGCAGAAGCTTTGTTTACAACAAGAGACACTGATATTGGCTGTCTGTCTGCTATTTCATTGCACCTAGATGGAATGAAGAAAACAATGCCTAAACCATACTTCCTTTCATTATTTGGAGACAGAGAGAGACTACTTGCTGGTGTATGAGACAAATGAAAGTTTTGAAGAAGTCACACATTTAATGATCTGATTAATACCTGCTCTTTCCATAGAGCTCATAGTATTTAATATGTGGCAAGTGAATGGATATCTTGTTAGCCAATGCTTCCTTTGCTTAGGCAACACACTCTGTCAGGGGCAGCTTATGGCCCTAGGGCCAGGGTGTGTGTGTATTAGGGTGTGTGCTCATTGGAGGGCATGCCATGGGGCCAACATCAACTTTTTGCTCTTCTGTTTTAAAATAAGAAAATTGTAGCTTTATTATACTTCTCAATTTATGCTTAACGTTATTATACCTGTCAATGTATTAAATACATACCTCAACATTCATTTCTACCTCTTTCCCCTTTTCTGCCATATTACTTGCATCTCCAAAGTTATATAGGAAAAAGCCCTTTGGGGGAAAATAAAGTGCACAACTTTATGGGGAAGTAGCTACATGAGAACAGTTAATGTAAAAGAATAAATTGTTTGCAACTAATGAGACCTGGTCCAAATTAATACCTGCAGTTAAAATTGATTTAATTATTATATAAATCTATTGCCTCTATCCTATTATGAACGCCTTTATGAATATTAATAAGGTTCCTGAAATCCTTAGACATAAAGAACAATAAAAAATGACTTGTGGTTTGGCAGGCAGGAGAACCAAGGTAGAATTTTGCTGGCTTTGCAAGGACAGTTGTTAATAATAGCATTATATCCTCCAATAAATCGGAGTTCATGTTCAGACATTTGAAAAATTAGAATTGAATCGAATCTGAGTATTAATTTGGCATAGGATACTTTTCATGGGAGTCCTGGATTAGGAAGACAGGGCATGGTGTCTCACTCTACAGCATCAGGACGAGGTGCCTTCTATCACCCTGATCTGATCTCTGGCGGGACCCCCAAAGGTAGTACATATTCCATGAGCACATTTAGACACTGTCAGTTCTGGAACATGTATGGAGCAGCTCAACAGGGAATTGCATGTATGACAATGTGCACGCATGTACTCATGCACATGCACAGGTGTGTGTGTGTGTGCGCGCACACACACACCTGCATGTATGACAATGTGCACGCATGCACACATGCACATGGACATGCACAGGTGTGTGTGTGTGCACGCACACACACACACAAAAGGATGCATACTCATGAAAATGGTTTTTTTTAAATGGGCCACACAAGTCATTAAAAGATAATCACATGAAATTATTGAGGAATGTAGCCTGAACTCATGGCTGTCCCTTTCTTCACAAGAGTCTGTATGTGAGTATGGTGCAGGCTTTCACTTGAACCAGGGCTCAGTCTTGGAATCTATGCTGACACCCTTCAATCCTTGGGGGATATGATATCCCAAATATAGCGGATATGGTATTTTACCTTGCCTTGCTGCAGGCACGAACAGAAAGCTAGAATTCCTTACCTCCAAGTAAATACAATAATAAGTAACCCTATGAAAGTGCAGCAGGTGTGATGGAGTTATCAGAATACTGTGTTGCGTCTGCTTACCTTATGACCACATCATAAGCACTAGCCCCCGGCAAACATGAGTTTATGAGTTTCACCAATATTTGTGATCTAGGAATATCTTCAGTTGCATCTGATCAACGAAGATATTCAGTCATCAATGCATGGAAAACTTTTTACTTTGGACTGCAAATTTTGTAATCATCTGCAAAAAAAATTTCAGGCATTATCAGATAAATACATTCATTGGAGAACAGATTCCGGTGAGACCAAAACCTCCAAACAGGGCAAAACTGTTGCAATACCCTTGGAAGTGAATGAAAGATAGCCGTGAGCCCAAAGTACTAACTGACAAAAATGGTTTTTTTTGTTGCCCCTCTGTATTATTTCTCTATGTCTTTCCAGCCAGCCCCTGATCAGGTCAGGCAACTCTATCAAGTCTCTGTAGTGAATGTGGTTGGATCAGCCCAGGACTGCTCTCCCTAGTGGCAAATAGCAATCTCTCCTTCTTGCTGCAGTTCTCCATATAATTCCTCCCCCCCAAAAATTGGCTTAGATTTCTGGGAATACCCTCAGATCAAATTTTCTGATAGTATAGTGGACTACAGGAGGAGAGCAAGGGGAAGAAATTTTAGTTGCATTGGCATAGCAGCACCCTATCTGGACCTAGGCCATCAACTCCCACACTTGTCATCTGCAAATGCTGATCCAGTGAGTCTTTCAGGAACTCCTCTGAGGATGGGTCTCCCTTACTCTTTATTTATTTATTTATTCCTCTTAAGCACACTCTGAATGTGTAGAAGAATGAAGTGGAAAACTGAAGTAGTACACTGCCATATCAAATAGTGGGAGGAGAATCACACTTTAAAACTTTGGCCAGAATCCTGTTGGTGTTCATATAAGGTTGACGTAACGTGTTATGGCTAATTGTGGCCAATTGATTATATGCCAGGCTGCATGTCACTTGCATAGTTGGGTGTGCGACCAGACACATGGCTGAAATGCACTCTGGCACCTCGTCAGTTAGCCATGGCAAATCACGTAAATCTTGCAGGCACACCACTCAGATTCTGGCTGTTCCCTTGTGTTAAGCACTCCCAGC